GCCCTTTGGTCAGTGCCTCCCCTGCACCCTGCAGTGTTGGCCTTTTACAGTTCTGGTTTCTAGCTACCCAGATACTCTGAAGGCATGGTTGATTTTACAATTTCTCCTCCCACTTTTTTTTTTTGTGTGTGTGTGTGTGTGTGTTGGGGGATATACTGGAAATTGAACCCATGGGCGCTCTACCACTGAGCTACATCATGGATTTTATTTTGAGACACGGTCTCGCTAAGTTGCCTAGGCTGGCCTCAAACTTGAAATCTTCCCAAGTTGCTGGTATTGCAGGTGTGCACCACCACACCCAACTCTCCTTGTTTCTGAAAAATGGGTAAAAAATATGATTTGTTCACTGCAGGCTTTAGAATATGTGGTTACAGTTTGAGGGGGATGTTGGAGAGGCCTGAGCTGAGCCTTTTAAGCTACATTTCTACTTTATTCAAGTATCCTGTAGGCATCACCCCTCCCGTGAAGTCTTTCCCAGCCACTCTCACCCCCTTTTAAGCTCTTGCTGTGGCTCCAGTAGGCTGTGGCTGCAGTTAACGGGTAAGGAGATCTGTGTGTCTGGTCTGGTTCAGCCATAACCAGGAGTGAACTGTGAGCTACTCTCCTTGCTCAAGCCTCAGAAGCTTTCTTTGACAGGGTCATTCTGCTCAGATAGAGGGGCATCATCCTTTTTGAGCCACATCATTAATCTTCCTCATAGACCTTCCCTACCCGCTTTCTGATCCCATGATCTTCCCAAACAACCCCATAGTGATTCTGATTTCAGGTCCATCCTCTGGAACTTGTGGCTAAGCAGTGAGACATGTCAGTAGATAGAAGCCACGGTGCTTAAGTGTAAAGATTCAGTTAGGCCCAGAATGCTATGGGAGCTCAAAGGGATGGGCTAAGGGGATGGGGGTGGCTGGGAAAGACTTTCTGGGAGAGGTGATGCCTAATGGACACTTGAATATTCAAGTAGAAAAGTAGGCATTAGAAGTGGCAGGGGAGAATGTTTGAACTGGGGACAATCTGAACAAAGACTTGGAGACTAAGAAAGGAAGGGAGTTAAAGTGGAACTAAACAGTTTTGTTTTCATACTTTACCTTCCACCTAGAGTTCTACTGCCCTTCTCTGCCAGGTTGTAATGATCAAGGCAGGAGATATACACATCTCCATAGGCGACTTCTTATTAAATGGTCTCCTGATCCTTCCACTGTGGTGTGGGAAAGAGTACCACTACTTACTACCAAGGCCCACTGTGACTGAGTACCTAATCTTCCCAGCCCTTCATTTCTCCATCTGTCAAATGGTACTCTCCTGACCTCCGGACCAATGAGAATCATACTGAAGACAAAACAGGGCTGTTTAGCTGAAGTTAGTTCCTCCTCAGAGTCAAGGTCGCAAGCCTACAGTTTAATGATGATCTTACCAGAATGTTCCTCTTTAGGGTTGAGAGGCCCTGAAGTCTGTATTCCTAGAGGACAATATCCAGATCACTATATGATGTGGGGTAGTGGAGGGATGAATTGGGCAGTACATCCCTGCCTCTTCCACACTCTAATAACCGGGAAATCTGTTAGGTATTTAGTGTCCAGTCTTGACATGTTTTAGGAAGGGTGGGATCTGCCCAAGGGCATCCTGCATCGCTGCTAGTGGGGCACGCAAAATGCACGGGCCTAAGGAACCCAGCAATAGGGTCGCCTGGGACTCCACGTATTCCCGTAGAGGTGGGGTTTCCACCACAGAGGGGGCTGGTCACCCCGGCGTCGGGACTCTGGGTGCGGACTCCTCATTTTGGCGCCGGCCCTTCCGGAGCCTGGACTCGCGCCGAAGGCAGTCAGGGCCCTCCGCGGGCAAATGGATGTCAAGGGCGCCTCGATCTCTCTCAGATTTTAAGGTAGAAAGCGGTGATGCGTGAAAAGTGTAGTTAAAAGCAGTCTGGGGCAGGGAGTAGAACAGAAGCGGGGCCCTGAAGAGGGGACAGTGGAGATGGCCGAGGGCTCGCTCCAGTGGTCCCAGAGCCTGCGGCGGGCAGCGCGGGAGGCCAGGCTCTCCGCTTGCTCACCTGCTGGTCCGCAAAGCCGGGGGAGGGAGGGCTGGGGGGCGGGGGGCGGGACCAGGGCACGACTGGCCAATAGGGGGAAGGCAGTCAATGGACTGCTAAATTCCCCTCGGAAAGTAGAAGGGGCAGAGGCGGAAGGGAAAGTTCGAAGCTCCGGAGCAATGGAGCCTTCGGCTGGAATTGCCCAGGGATAGTTGGGGGCGCGGGGACACAGACGAGGTACGGGAAGCCGCAGGCCGCGGCCGCCTCCTCGAAGAGCGGTAGGCCCCGCCCTGACCGCCCCTCCTTCCTGAGGGCCACTGGGCAGCCCGCCCGCTGTTGCCAGCTCGACAGCGCCACCTGCTGGACATCGGCCCCACGTCCGGGCGCCAGGGCCTAGGCTCTGGGACCCCGGACGCAAAAGTTGGCTCACCATAGACCTGGGCAAGGGGAGCTTTGGTGCCAGAGGCCTCTTTCAGACTACTTGATGGGGTCAGGAGGCTTGTGGCCGTTAGAATAAGTGTCCCGTCTTGTCCACTGGGGCTCTGCATTTCCACCACTCAGTCCCACCAAGGCATGAGGAAATAATAGTGAGGCGGTCTCTGGAAAGAGACAGTGGTAAAGGGCAGTTCAAGAGCCTATGGCACTGGGTGATAGGCAGCAAGGCATAGCTGAGAACAGCTCTGAACTACTGTGGACCTTGTTGTGCATGGGATAGCTACAGATGTTGACAAATGAAATAGATGCCTGCAATGTTATATGATGGGTCAACATGCTGCCATATCTCCTGAGTATGGGTTATCCTTCTGTCTCCTCTTGCTTGCCATAGTATAGGGCAGAAGTCACCATAATTGGAATCAGGACTCATCCATCCTTTCAATAAACATTTATTGAGCACCTACTGTGTGCCAGGCACTGTGCTAGGCGCTGGGGGATACATCAGTGACTAACACACAGTCCCTGTCCTTGAGGAGCTCACAGTCTATTGGAGGGGAAACATACATAATAAACACATAATTAAAGAACTACATTGTGCTATGTGCTACAATAAGAGGTATATACAAAGTGCTGTGGGAGCGAGGACTAAGTGGTGACACATCAGCTGCTGGGAGGTGAGGATCATTGCTTGACTCCTGACTCCCTTAAACCATTGCAAAGGCAGGGATGTTGTTGTCCCACGACTGGTTAAGTGTCATTTGTTTAAAAAGAACCTCTCTCCTGAGGTTCTCCTCTAGCCCTTTCCCATAACTATACCAGCACAGATTAGTTTATCAGATTAGCTGTTTTAACACTTTAAGTAGGAAAGAAACTGGACAGGGAAGTTTCTTTAGGGGAAAAGGACTTTCAAAGTAGTAACAAGTCTTGGGTGTTTAGATGGGGGTGTGGTGGGGGTACCATGAGGGCACTGAGCCAGGGAGGGCAGGCCCTGGGCAGTGGAGCACCTGGGGTGAGTGCCTGTGCAGTGGGAAGGTCAGAGGTAACCTACCTCAAAACTTTGGTCCCCATCTCCCACCAGCTCTATCAGTAACCATTTGTTGATGCTTATCTGCTTTGTAGTGTGCCCTGTTCTATGTGTGCTACAGTTTGCCTATCAGGGAATACACTGAATGGGAAGACTAAATAGAATCAGGTCATTGAAGCTTTAAGTAACAGTTTGTGATTGTAATAGAGGAGCTGTCACAGGCTGTTCATGATCAGTTGCCTAAAGAGTGGCAAATGCAATGAGTTTAAAAAAAAAAAGAACTCAATGATAGGCTGGTCTGGGGAGGTGGCTTCCATGAAATTGAGTCTTGAAGACAGACATGTTGGTACTAGGGGATAGGAAGAGCATTTGGATTAAGCAGAACCCAGTAAAGGAAAAGCATGGAGTTGGGAAATTTTGAATGGAGGGATGTTCAAAGACCAACAGATCAATCCACTGGGGCAGAGGAAGGAGCAGTGTAAGTGGACTGGGAAAGTTAGATAGGACCAGATGGTGAAGGCCAAGGACTTGGGGCTTTGCCCCAAGGTGGGGCTGACACCAGACTTAAAAACCCTCTGGAGTTCCTTCTCTGAGCTCTCCAAGTACTCCCACTTTCTTCCCACAGGACCTCTGGACTGCCTCATGAATTAGCAACTAGAGGTTTAATGCTGGGCATCTAGAAAGGATTGGGGACATATTTTAAGTATCACCACTACCTGTGAACCAGGAGGAGTCACTGAAGGTTTTTTAGTGGGGGAAGGATAGGATTGGTGTCCTGATAGATGGGAGGTGGTTAGACAGGTCACACTGAGCAGGGTGTTGATGTTTGGAGTAGGGGGAACTCTGGGTAGTATGAGCCAGACTGGAGGCTCTGGGAATGTGAAAGGAAGGCAGGCCAGATTTGAGAGGCATTGCAAACCTTCTGGACTTCAGGAGCCAGGATGGGGACAGGGTCAAGTGAAGACAGCCATCAGATAGCTCTGAAATTTGAAGCTTAGAAAGTCATGACATTGGCAAGTCACAATGGCCTTTTGCTTGATTTTGTGTGTGGAAAGAATTTAAAGTTCCACATTTGATAGAGGAGTTGACAGATATTTGGGGAGAAACATTCAGCATATCCCTAGACATGTGAGCCAGGATCTCAGGAGAAAAAGCAGGCACTGGAGTTCTAGATTTAATTCTCACCCGGAAGAACCAGGCCGTGAGAATGACGAGACCCTTGGGGAACACCCACATTTGAAGTGTCAGATAAGGAGCCAGCACAGGCATGGAGAAAGAATGTTGGGGGAAGGAGAGCCCAGCTACTGTGACGAGAACTGTGGAGAAGATATTTGATTTCACTATAGGGTACTGAAGACCTCCAGGTGACATGTTTCTATGGAGTGGAGCAGGAGTGGGCAGGTAGAAGCCACATTTCAGTCAGGGGCAGGATCACCCCTAATCCATGCTATGCCTTTGTGCCATTTTTTCTTAAACAATAACCCTTTCTTAAAATGCTTACTATCAACCATCAGGAAATTGTCCATAATAAGCTGATTTTATTAGAAAAAGGCACTTCAATGCCAACTGCTAGAAACATAGTAAATGCACTTGCAGGGCCACCTCCCTGGGGAAGAAGCGAGTGGGAGAGAATACGGACGGGAAAGAGAGAAAAGAGCAGCCAGGGGAGGTAGTTAGATCAAGTGGGTGGTTTTGTGCCGAGGACGGAGCAAAAGTCCTGAGGCACTGATTCACATTAACCAAATTCACCAGAGTTGCTTCCAGGCATTTCTTAGTTTTGCCCCCAAACTTGGCAGGAGTGGTGAGCGGATTCAAAGAAGAAAGAAGGGAAGGGCACCCAAGCCTCAGAAAGAGAAAGGGAGCCATGAAATAACTCATGCCTGCTGGCTCCTGTCTTCTCGGTGAAGAAGGAATCAGCATTAGGTGCAAAAAGTTGGAAATGAAGAGCAGTAGCCCACCGGAGAAGGTCTGTGGTAGGCATTGTGGGAGTGGGCTGGCACACCTCTGAGGTGAGAGGGCAGGACGGGCAGCAGAGACTGTAGAGCAGGCACTACACAGCACACGCCCACAGGCAGGAATGGAGGCAGGCCCAGGCTGGGCTGTCTACTGACTAGCCCCAGCAATGCCTGACAGCTAGAAAAATCTCAGGGTCAAAAGTAACATAGAAGGAGCCAAGGATGGGGCACCTAGGGCAGTGTGCCAGAGGAGGCTGTTGTCTGGTGGAAGGATGGTGTTACACCAACAGCTCAAGTCCTGGGCACAAACATTCAACCAACCCAGTCCTGACCGGGGACCCTGTAGCTGGGTCTGACTCTAGAGGTGTGCTTTTCTCTGACTAAACCTTCAGCAAAGCACTTTGAAGTGGCAAGTTTGCGACCTGCCAGCATCGATGACTTTGGCAGGCAATGTGGCAAACTCTAGGAAAAGAGTCTTGGTCTAGCCTGTGGGGGTCACATTCAGTGCTGAGTTCTCTTCTCTTTCTTCATTTGTTGTCCAATCCCACTCAGCCTTCTTGTCCCCTAGGCATGTGTCTTTTGCAACACATAGACCCATTGAAGCTCTCCTACCTGGACCCATCCCAGCTCTGTGACATCTCTCCAGGTTTGGGGGACCCAACCAGTACCCTATAGTCTCAGAGCAACCAAATCTTGGCTTGAACAGGTTATTACAAAATGCTTTTCCTTTAAAAAAAAAATCCCCTTCTCTGTGGTTGACCCATGGAGGAACACACCACCCCTTGAAGACCTCACAGCTACACCCCCATCTTCCCCCCAAAACGGAAGATACAGAACCCCAAGTACACACAAATACATACAGAGATATTCACATACGGGATAGTAAATTCCCTGCATAGGGAATGTAGACAGTGAGATGCAGTCAGGCCAGACTCTTCTCACAACCCCCCCCATGCTCTGGCCCCAAATTTCTCCCTGGCTCAGGGGTTTTCCCTTTATCACCAAGTCAGCCCAATATCCTGCCAAGAGCATATCCCCTAGTGCTCCTGAAGGCCATGGTCTGCTGCCAGGGATGCTCAAAGTGAGCATAGGTTGGCCATGGTGATGCCAGGTAGGGCCGGGGGACTGGGGATCAGGTGTAATGAATCCCACTGAAACGTAAGGGCAAGGACACTACTTAAGTCAGTCTGTGTGAAAATGCTGCTCAGCTTCACCTGATGGGTCACACTGGTGATGCCTTCCTTTACATGTCATGGGGCTCCATCTTAATGAGGGAGGTGGGGTTGAATGGGGAGAAGGAGGCTGGGGTTGGGGATCTAGTCAGCAGGTTCCCAGATGTGGTCACACTAGGCTCAGCCATAAACAGGGACCCTGAGCCTGAGGAGAGCTCAAGTTCAGCCACAGGGGTGAGCCCAACAGTGGGGCGGCTGGGGGAAGAGAGAGTCTGGTTTCCCATAAGGCTCGAATTGTGGGAACCCCTTGAAACCACCTGGGTTGGAAGTGGCTGAAGATGAGCCTGATCTCTCAGAAGCTCCCTCAGGGTCTCTTCAGGAACCAGCAGCCCCTCCATGGGAGCCCCAGTCACCATGCCCTGCACATATGAGGAGGACCTCAGTGGCCCCTCCTTGACCCCAGGGGCTGCTGTGGTGCTAGAAGTCCTGATGAAGGCAGCAATGACAGTCCCAGGGGGCTGAGAGCTGGGCCCCGCTGGTCCAGCACCTGTGGCTGAGGGTGGTGCTGGGTTGGTTGAACGATTGGCCCCAGCCAGCAGTTGGGGGAGGCTACTAAGAATCAGGGGGGTCCCTGGTGCTGCCACCTGGTTCTCTTGGAAACTGGTGTTCAGGGGGAAGGAGGCCTGCAAAGTGAAGGTGTCTTTGAACGTTGACACAGGAGGAACACTCTGGAGAACGAGCTGAGTGGAAGCAGTAGTACTGGCAGGAGACCCATTGGTCAGCACTGTGGTCAACGGGATGGTCTGCAGGGTCACGGCTGAGCCTGACCCCACAGGGGCCACTCCTAGGTGGATGTTGCTGGGCACTGAAGAAGTACTGAGAAGAGACAGAAAATAAAGTTTGTTAAAGCAGGAGGTACCCTGCCACCAGCTATGAAGGAGGGCACAAGAGGGACAGAGTGGCAGGCATTTTGCACATGTGTTGTTGCTCTAGCTAACATTTATTGAGTACTTAGTTCAGGTCAGAAGTCTTTCTAAATGATTGGCATGTGACATTTTTCTCAAGCCTCAAAACAGCCCATGAACTAAGAAGAATCTGATTTTACAGCTTGAGGAAACTGAGACCCAGATAGGTCATGCAACTTGCCCCAATACCACATAGCTGGGATTTGCATCTAGAAGTTGTAGCCCCATAGACCACTCTACTGCCCCTCCCCGTGCCCCCCTTTTTTTTTGCAGTACTGGGGATTGAACACAGGGGTGCTCTACCACTGAGCTACATACCCAGCCCCCTTTTTAAAAATTTGAGACAGGGTCTCACTAAGTTGCCCAGGCTGGCTTTGAATTTGCATCATCCTGTCTCAGCGTCTTGAGTCACTGGGATTACAGGCATGCACCATGGTGCCTGGCCTGCCTCCCTTTTTTGAAAGAGCATCCCAGGGACCCAAACCAAAGTAGCAAGAGGTGCAGACATAACTCAAAGTCTAGCCTTTTCAGGGAAGACTGGAGTCCCAGTGACATGGAGAAGAAGTAGTGAGAGCTTTCTAGGGAGGCTTGGAAGGCAGAGCAGGTCTGTCTGTAATGTTTTCTTACATATGAGTAGAGGCTTGGCAGGATGGGCCCAGGTGTGGAAACCCCTGATGGCTTTTTTGGGTGCACTCTGGTATAACAGGAACAGTCCCCACTGGCAGAAGTCCCCCAGGTCAAGTGTTGCTTTGGGGTTTTTGTGGTGCGTGACCTTGGGCAAGTCACCTTTCCTTTTGACATGCTCCACTGGTTTCCCAGGGGTTCTATGAGAATCCCACAAGACTACAGACAGCGTAGAGCTTTGCAAGAATTTGAAAACTGACCCCCAACACAAGGGACTATGGAAAGACTTATAATTACTTTGGCACCCTCACCTCACGGCTTTGGTGATCTTGGTCTGGCTCTCTGGTGAGGAGACAAGCATGGTGGAGGTAGTGGGGATCTCCTCGTCTAGAGACAGTCCCAATTCCAGACTCGCAGATGGCTGCAGACCTACATGCTGAACCTTTGGCTTCTCCCAGGAAGGGCTGCCCTTGCCCTGGGTGGCAGCTCTGGATGAGACCCTGGAGCTGGCCCTCCGGGTGGTGTTGGTGGAGGAAGCCGAGGAAGTGGAGGCCTGTGGCGGTGCTGCTGGAGCTTCACTTTTCTCATCCTCGTCTTCAATCACCACCAGATCCTTGGGCATCTCCTTAAACTGGTATACCAGCCTCTGCCCTTCCACTTTAGCCAGGATGCCTCTTTGGTAGTAATATCTGGGGGACAATGGGCAGGGAGTGGGGAGTTAGGCAGGGACTGAGTGGGGAGAACTTCGCTCTCCATGTCTCCAACACACCACCCTCCAGGGCAGGGCAAGCATGAGGCTGAGGTTGATCAGGGAGCCAGGTGGGGACTCAGGGGCCAGGAAGGGATACACAGAAGGTTTTTATGACATTTCTGAGGTTTCCCTCTGTGGACTCAAAGGTTGTACTAAAAGGATGTTTCAGTGTCAACCCCAGCCTGTTTCATGGCTGACAACATGCAGTGAATGAAGAATAGCAATATGAATGAGGAGATAGGGGGCAGGGGACTCAGCAGTCCCCTAGCCTGAGACATTAACTCTGGGGCAACTCAAGGCCATCTCTCTGGGCCTCTGGCTTACAGAATGTGAAGAAATCCCTTCTTGGAATTGCTGGCAGGGGTGGGAGCACTATTCTTCCAGGACAGAGATGCAACAAGGTGATTTTTCCTCCCAGAGGGGGCATGGGGCAAGCAAATGGGAGATTTATGAAACCTGTTTCCTTAAAGGATTGATCAGGCCTCCATTCAAGTGGGAGAGATGCCTTGGGAAGAGCTTGGTGTCTCCTCTAGAGCAGGGAGTCTGTGTCCCAGCAGCTTTTACCTTAGGGCCCGCCCCATTGTCTCATAGTTCATGTCAGGCTTGTTTTTCTGCTTTCCCCACAGCTTGGACACAGCTTTGGAGTCCACCAACTTGAAGATGCCTTTCTCTCGCTGGGTCCACTTGATGTACTTGGGACAGGTGTTTCGGTCTTGTAGAAGTGCCAAGAGAAACTCCCACAGATAGATGGTGCTGCCTGCAGAGGGGTAGGTAGTGAGGGGCGGCTTAGGCTCTCTGGCAGCAGGTTATGGGGCCCCCTTCCCACCTCCCCTGAGTCTCAGCCATACCTTTGCCATCCTTTGATTTCTTCCGGATGGGGATGCTAGGGTCAGTGACAGGTGAGGTACTGCGGTTGCCCTTTGTCTTCCGGACTGTGAGAGGAAAGGTGAAAGAACAGGATGAGGCTAAGGCTATGGTGAGCCGGCCAAGTTGCGTGTGATAGGACCAACCAGGAGGAGCCAGGACACCGAGGCTGGAGGCCAATCATTCTCTACAGCCATAGCCTGTGAGTATCTGTACCCTCATTTTCAGTCCCCTAAGGTAGCTTGGTAACAAGGCTGGATGTAGGAAAATGTAATGCTTGCAAATGAGGCACCTTCATAAGAACAGGGTGTGCCTGGCCTAATGTTTGAAGTGGAGAGACAGCCCACAAGTGCCACTGTCATGCAGGTCAGTGTGGTGCTGAGGCTTTTTGGTTGCCATGTTGACAGTGAATCTAAGACAATATAAGACGGACAGTATAAGCCAGCCATCATCTTGAGTAAATCAATAACACCAGGGCTTGGGAAAGCCCAAAGTCCTCTCTCATATATGGCTGGGGTTCATCAGCTCTGCAGAAGGGAGATAAGCACATGGCATGACTCACTTTTTATAGGCAGAGGCCCCAGAGGTCCAGGCCAGACCAGGGGTCCAGGCCTGGAGTCTGAACTCTCAGCCTAGGATTCAACCCACTGGGGTTGATGGCATTTGGGGAGTTTACACATATACTCAGCAGACAAAAGCAGCAGGGGACTGTCAGGCTTCAGGTAGGCCCGCCAATGAGGCCAGGTTTACAGAAGGGAAGCCTTTTAATCCATCTCAGCCAGACCAGAGAAAGGTCCTCTTAATGTATCTGTGAGCCTCAGCTCATTCAGCCCTTAGAGTTTCCCTGGCCCCACTGCCCTCCCCCTGGGAACACACATACACCCCTCCTATCCTTACTTCTTCTTCTTTTAAAATATTTATTTTTTAGTTGTAGTTGGACACAAAACTTTATTTCACTTATTTATTTTTATGTGGCGCTGAGGATCGAACCCAGGGTCCCACCCGTGTGAGGCAAGCGCTCTACCGCTGAGCCACAACCCCAGCCCTCCTTACTTCTTTTCTTTGATTTTCCAGTCTTCTTAGAACTTTCCTCTCTGGAGACCCTTCCCTCCAGAGAATGATCTTCCTGGTCACCAGCCCCATTCAGGGCATCGGGCTCAGAGGCAGGAAACAGGTAGTTGGGCAGAGTGATGGCTGCAGCAGGGTCTGAGTCTGTAAGCATTTCAGAGGTGCTGACTGCAAGGAGAAAGGCCTGAGGTGGACAGGGCCTAGGCAGGGCCGGACAGTGGTCTCCCAGCACTGCTGAACCAAGAATTGAGGGCACCTGGGGAGGGTTGGTGTGCTGTTCCCCACAGCCCTAGACATAGGTCATACCTGAAAATGCCTCGGGAGTATTGTACCACAAAGGGCAGAAACATCTGCAGAGCTGTGAGCATGAGTTGGCCTCAATCACAGCTGCCACATTTATAGCCCACTGCCAGCAGTGGGAAAGTTCCAGGTAGCATCCAGGGTAACAGGCCCCCTTGATTTGATCTTTCACTTATTTGACAACTCAAAGAGACCTTAGAAACCAGTGAGCCTAATTCCTTTGCTTTCCTGATGAGGAAACGAAGACCAATCCAAAGATGGCAAAATTGTGCTCAAGGTTACAGCAAGTTGCTGCATGGTACATGTGGGCACTTGGTATCCTGGCTGAATATTAGTAAGAGGCAAGATAAGATCTCTTACCTTTCATATCCAGGGCTTTTCTTCCCCTCACTGCATCACAGTACCCCCTAGGGCAAGGGAAGTTGAGGGGGGAACCTTCCTGTGGCAGTAGGGCATTTGCCTGAGAAGGTGCTGGGAGGAATCTGCCTTGGGAACCTCCTGGAGGGCTGGGAGCCAGGGAGGATCAGCAAGCATCTGAGGCCTCTTAGGGTCTAGCCTCCATTAACAGGGGAGGGATGAAGATGTACCAAGCCTCCTACAATTCTCAATAAGCTAGGTCCTGTGTTTCTTAGTCTTCCCGGGAGCCAAGTAAGAGAACAGAAGGGCCCCCAAACCCCCTGGACAACAGTGTTCAGCCTTGAAAAGGCTGCAACATGGATGGACTTTGAGGACACTATGCTAAGTGAAATAAACGAGTCAAAAAGACCAATACTGTATGATTCTACTTAAATGAGGTATGGAGAGTAGTCAAATTCATAGACCCAGAGAGTAGAACGGTGGTTGCTGTGGGTTGGGGATGGGGGTTAGGGGATGGAAGTCATTTAATGGGGATAGAGTTTCAGGTTTACAAGATGCAAAGAGTTCTGGAGATGGATGGTAGTGATGGTTGCCCAACAATGGGAATATATTTAACACTGCTGAACTATAAAACTAAAAATGAGTAAGATGGTATATTTAATACATATTTTACCACAACTTAAATATTGGATAAAAACCCAAAAGTCACCCTGGCCATTTTCTCCATGTCTCCAGTGCCCTCATACCCCTGCCTTACGAGTCCCAGCTCAGGCCTGTTCATATGCACATGGGTTGGGGTGTCGGCACCTAGGCCTGCCTGCACGTGTGCCTCGGAATCCACTATGCGGACGCAACATTTTCAAAGGCAGCTGTGTTGCCTTGAGTCAAGGCCCTGGGGTCAAACTTACAGATCTGCTTCTCATCCAGGATATCATTAGGAGATTCCACATTCAGTAAGACTTCAGTGGTTGACACGGTATGTGAAGTGGCCTCATTGTCATCTGATTCCAGGTTCCATGGGAGGGGGGAGAAGAGTTCTCTTAGGGCACAATACAGCTAGAACCAGGGCCAGCCCAGGTTAACAGAGTAGTAAGTAGAGGAGTCACAGGGACCCTACTGGAAAGCTGGGAAAGAAGCCGTCTACCTCCTGCCCTAATCCTCCACCCCCTCAGCTAATCTCCACTCCTCCTTGTCCCATCTCATCTACAGTATGTGAATGCATTAAGATGGTTCCTTTTCTATGAAGTGGCACCCCCTTTCATTGGGGGCCTTGCCCATTCTTCTCGGGTTCAGCCTTTGTGGGCTGCTATTCCCTGAAGAGATAACCCCTCTCTCCACCACACCTTCCCTGCCCATAAAGGAAACAGACCTGCCAGCAAAAAACTGCCCTCCAGGATCTGATCCTGTGTCATGCACAAGGTCCCATCTGTTATGACACCATTGTGACCGTCGTCCAGCTCCAGTCCTGAGTACAGGTGCAGTAATTCGGGGTAGGGTACCTGTTCCACGATCACAGCCGGGAACACTGAAGGGTCTTCCAGCTGTAAAGAAGACAGGGATCTGTTTCAAGGCCCAATTACCTCTTTGGGAAGCCCTCCCTATCAGATTTTGGCCTTTTGTGTAATTCCTAATTCTTGGAGCCACCAGGGGCTGAGGATAACATTGCTCTTGATCCATTCTCCTAGTTGATGCTGTGAGTTCTTGACTAATACAGATGGCTTAGCTTGGTACCACCTACATTCAACCAAGGGTAAGTATTTGTGTGTGCCTGGTATCTAGGACCAAACCCAGGGTCTTGTTCATGTTAAGCACAGATTCTACCACTGAACTATAGCCCTGGTCCCAGAAAGCAGTTTTAACTGGTTGGATTAATCCACAGCCTGGAGTTAGAGTTCAGGCTATGAGAAGGGTTAGGCTCACCAGGCATTATGCTGAATGCCTTTAATCCCAGCAGCTCAGGAGGCTGAGGCAGGAAGATTGCAAGTTAAAAGCCAGCCTCAGCAACTTAGTAAGGCCCTGAGCAACTCAGTGAGACTCTGTCTCTATAAATAAAATATTTAAAAAGGGCTGGGGATATTGCTTAGTGGTTAAGCACCCCTGAGTTTGATCCCTGGTACTAAAGGAAAAAAAAAGGTTAGGCTCATTCTGAGGCTGGTGGAAAAGGATTAGTTGATAGCAGGGATGAGGGGTTCAATCTAAAGTCAGGTGAGCCTGGCATAGTGGCCTACATCTGTAATCTCAGTGACTCAGGAGGCTGAGGCTGGAGGATTGCAAGTTTGAGGTCAACTTCAGCAACTTAGTGAGACACTGTCTCAAAATAAAAATAATAATAAAAAGGGAGCTGGGGGTCGTGGCTCAGTGGCACAGTGCTTGCCTAGCATGTGTGAGACACTGAGTTTGATTCTCAGCACCAATATAAACAAACAAAATAAAGGTCCATTGGCAACTAAAAAATATTTTTTAAAAAAGGGCCAGGGATGTGGCTTGGCAGTAAAGCATCCTGGGTTCAATCCCCAGTATGACAAAGAAAAAAGGGAGGATAACAACTGGGATTTATTTATTTATTGCCATAGGGATTGAACCCAGGGCACTTTACCACTGAGATGCATTCCCAGTCCTTTTTTTTTTTTAATTTGGTACTGGAGATAGAACCAAGGGGTGCCTAACTACTGAGCCATATTCCCAGCCCTTTTAACTTTTTTATTTTAAGACATCATCTTGCTAAGTTGCTGAGGCTGGCCTTGAACTTGTGATGCTCCTGCCTCAGCTTCCCCAGTTGTTGGGATTTCAGGTGTGTGCTACTATGTCTAGTTCATTATTTTTGGTGCTAGGGATGGAAGCCAGGGCCTTGGGCATGCTAGACAAGAGCTCTACCACTGAGCTATATTCTGAGCCCTGTTCTTAAAAAAAAATCTATATAGTGGGCTGGGGAGTTAGCTCAGGAGTAAAGCACTTGCCTCACATGGCCCAGGATGTGGGTTCAATCCCCAGCACCCACTTTAAAAAAAAAAAAAAGTTCTCAGGCTGGGGATGTGGCTCAAGCGGTAGCGCGCTCGCCTGGCATGCGTGTGGCCCGGGTTCGATCCTCAGCACCATATACAAACAAAGATGTTGTGTCCGCCGAGAACTAAAAAAAATAAACATTAAAAAATTCTCTCTCTCTCTTCTCTCTCTTTAAAAAAAAAGTTCTATATGGAGAAAATACACCAGAATGGTAATAATAGTTATATTTTGGTTGTGGGACTTAGGGTGGTTTTTCCCTTTTATTTCTACTTTTCTGTATTTTTCAAATTTTCTTTCAATGAGACATTAAAATTTGCTTCATTAAAAAAAGAATGGGAATGGTTCCCTCTGTCAAATATTTCTGGCAGATTCAGAAAAGTGAAAACTTATAAACCATCTTTGGATTTGACCTCTGGGCAGTTTCCCTTGCTGGAGTGGTTTCAGAACAGTGCTGGAGGGGAGTGTCCCAGGACAGGTTACAAAAGATATGAGGATGAACTCAGGCAGGCATCAGGTGTAGTGACTAAGGCCACAGTGTCTAGAGCTCTGCTGTCCTAGATGAAAGCCACTAGCCAAGGAGGACTTTAAATGTAAATGAAAATTTTGAAAAGATTAAAAATTCATTTCTTCAACTGCTCTAGACACATTTCAAGTGTTCCATAGCCACATGTGACTAGTGACCCTATACTAGATACCACAAATACAGAATATTTCAGCATTCTTGAAAATTGTATTGGATTGTGCTGATGTAGATCCAGACTACTTAGGTCTGAAACCAGCTCTGGTACTTACTGGCAGTATGACCTTGGGAAAGTTGCCTAACATTTCTGTGTGTGAGTTTCCTCATTTATAAAATTGGGATACTCATGTTATTGATACCTTAGGGTTTTTTAAATAGATCAGCATACATAGAGCACTCAGAACAGGGCCTGGTACAGAGTAAGTTCTCCTAAGTGTTAGGTATCAGCTGCTTCTAGAAGAGTAATACTTTATTTCTTAACCTGGGTAGTGAGAACATATGTGTTCATTTTATAGCCTATCTATGGTTTATGCACTCTTTTGTACTCATGATACATTTCACAACCAAAATTGTTTCCTAAGAAGAATGAAAGGGTGATAAAGAAAGTAAAAGCAGAGGGTGGAGACTATCTTGGGACTGGGAGAGAAAGGACCTAAGACGGTGGTATTCTGAAGGAAGGGGTTAGAAGGGAGTAAAGGTTTTCTTTTAGGGTTGAGGAGACCTGAAGACGTTCAAATTGAAGAAGAGGATCTGAGGATCTCGGAGGTTGGAAAGACAAGTGGGGACTAGGTGGGAGAGGAAGGGCTGGTGGGCACAGTGGGTGGGGGATAAGGAAAAGGAAAAGTGATTGATGGTTTGAGGTTTTGAATAAAGAAAGTTCAGATAAGGTACAGGGGTAGACATTACCCTGGGAAGGAAGAGGGATACATCATTTTGCCAGGTCAATGAGAAGGAAATAAGAATGGGAAAGTTTTAGATAAAGGTGAGAAGGGAGGGAACTTAAAGGCATCCTTAGCTTTCGGCTTCTTTATGGACTGGAGAGATTGCTGAGGGTGGAGGTTGGGAGGGCAGAATAACCACTGTGAAGAACAGAAACAGTTGCCAAGCACACTAGAAAGGGATGAAAGGTGGGAAGTAGCATGGAGAATCCAGTTAAGGACAGATATTTCTTCCTTTCTAATCTGATGCTTTCCACAAGACTAGGCACAGCAGAGTTCAATAAAATTGAACAACCTTGGAAAAGAAGGAACGGGATTGTAGGTGCAATGCACTCGATGCCCATTAGAGGGCAGCCTTTGGTAGGCGGCCAGATATGGGACGGTTTTCCATCCTTGCAAGGATTTAGGATAGAGCATCAGAGTTAAGCTGGTGTGTCCTGAGAAATAATTCGGCTAGATACCCTCTTGGCAAAGAAGGGGAGATGGCAGCCAGACATGGTAGGGGACATGACTTGGCCAGGTGACACTGTGACCATACTAGGATCAAAACCTAGGGTTCCTGATTCCCCCTCTTCCATTCCTACTACCATACCTGGCTACCTCTTCTTTTTTTTTTTTAATATTTATTTTTTAGTTCTCAGCAGACACAACATCTTTGTTGGTATGTGGTGCTGAGGATCGAACCCGGGCCGCACGCATGCCAGGCGAGCGCGCTACCGCTTGAGCCACATCCCCAGCCCCCTGGCTACCTCTTCTTTCTCCACTGTGTGGAAGGTGGAGATGGGGAGAGCACTGATAAGAATTCCAGGATATCATCCAGTGGGGACATCCAAGTGCATGGAAAAATGTGCCCTCTTAGCCCCAGTGCATCACAAGGTATGGAACACAAGGGACCTGAGTGCCTATCCTATCCTATTTCCAACTTCCTTCCACCAAAAGAACACATTTCCAGTTTTTCTGAATCTTCAGGTTGAGGCTGAGAAGACGGTATGGAGAGCCCATCAACTGGGTTGCAGTCATGAGTCTGGAGATGCCAGGACTTGAACTCCACCCTGCAGTTCCAGCTGGCAGTGGCCCCTCTTACTCTGTGGTTGTCCTAGCTATTTCCTTGCTGTGACACTGAAGGTGAAAGGTAGTGGCCCCAAACCCGCATGATTGTCAGCATACACTTCATGCATTCAGTCCCTGCTGCTGACTGGCTGATAGCTCAGCTGATTGACCTAGCAGCTGCTTGGCTGGTTTGGTGGTTGTATGAGCCCCATGTGGGCAACCAGATCCCTAAATACTGTCCAGGGATGACTGACTGGCTGTGTGAGTGAACATCTGGTGCACATGCTGACTGGCAAGCAGGCCAAGTGCCCCGAACATAGTAGGTGCTTGATGGATACTTTCGATCTGGCTCACTGGCTACCTGCCTGCCTTCCTGTCCATTCCCTTGGCTGATTGTGCTTTATTCTCTGGGGTCATACCTGGTGGATATCATCCATCCCGTTGCTTGCAAACTCAAAGATCAGGTCACTGGGTTGCAGGGTAATAGCCATACTGTTTTCTCCCAGAGCAGAGCCGACAGCGGGATTTCCCGGGCTCTCTGTAGCTGCAGCACTTTCTTGATAAAGAGATGCTGTTCAGGTACCTTGAGGCGAGAGTCTCCGCTGAGCCACAGAAGGACACGTAGAAAGTCAGAGTGAGTGGTGGCTTATGCCAAGCTCAAGGCTGCATGCTGGGCTGGGCCAACTGCAGGGGCAACCTAGGGAGAAGGGAGAGAGATGGAGACTCTGAGTAAGTCACCTGCCTTGAGCTCTGTGGTTGGGACAGCTGGCCAACCTGAGGGTCCCTGCTGTGCCAGCACAGCACAGGCCACAAGGAGAGGGACAGCTAAAAGAGAGGGGGAGGCAATGGGAAAAGAAGAGGGAAGAGGAAACGGCTGAGCCTCAGTGCCTGTCAGGGTCACTAGCATCTGTCCCTCTAAGTGGGGCAGAAGTGTGAAGAATCCCTGTAACTCCCTTGGTTTGGGAAAGAATTGTGAGGGGGTGTGACAGGACATGGGAACTTGCAGGGTGTTCCTGAGGCTCAGTTTACCTTGGGAGTACAGGCCAGTTAGCTCCAAGAGGCATTCTACAGAGGAAGAAATGTCTCATTGTGCGGGGTTTTGTGGTGTCAAGGCCAGGGGTGGACAGACTCTGCTCTTAGGGAGAAGACTCTCAGACCTGGCTGTGTCTACAGAGCCTGGAGACAGAGGGACAGGTGGGCCACATGCCTTGCGTGCTTGTCAGCATCTCTGCCCCTCCCCCACCAGCCAGAGAGGGTGGCCTCCGTGCTGTGTGTGGGTTTGTTCTTGGTTCAGCTTTGCTTTCAGTTTCAAGACTGAACTGTCACCCTGGGAACTTGTGAGGAGAGTCCTGGCTGGGGGGAGGGGCCAGCAGAACCTTCCCCAGCCTCCAGGGCCGGCTCAGGGCCCCTTTTCCAGGAAATCTTTGCTGCAGCCCACACACATCTCTCCTCATCCGAATGTCCCCATGCTCACATGGCATCTGGGCCACTTCCCCTGCCTCCACTCCTCACTTTCAGCACCCTAGCAGCTCCTCCACGCTGGGTTACACCCATGGCCACCTTCCAAAGCCCTCTCCCCACCCCCTACAACCTCCCTCCTGACAGCTTGCTCTGCTGCTTCTCTGCCCCAGAACACTGGGGCGTCTGTACCGTCCAGGTAGGAGTATGTCTTTGTGTCTTTGGCCCTTCAGGTTCATTTGGAGTGTGTGATGTTTTCACTGTGTGGATGTGCCCCAACAGCCTGATTAACCCATAAGCACCTGAAGAATTGTGTCTGTGCACCATAGTCAGAATGACACTCTTAATCCCACCTCCTTGACACTCCCTGGGCAGTACCAGGGTGGCAGAACCTTGTCCTGTGTTGGAAAGAAATGAGGAACTTCAGAGAGGGGCAAGGGGGAGGAAAGGGAGGGGGACCATGGGTGACCTCCCCGATGACCGCTCTCCCTCACAGGAGACACCCAGGCCTCTCCCACTTCCTTTCTGTTAGGCCACAGGGCTGGCCCCGCCCTCTCCCCACCCCCACACCTTTCCACCCACCCCAATAAAAAGCCCGAGAAGTCACTCAGCTCATTGCAACCTGTCAGTCTGAGTTTCCCTTTGGATGAATGAGAAATTGAGCCTTCGAGGTCCATCCCCAGCAGGACCCAGGGGAGGCACCTGGAAACAAGGGTCTTGTCTTGGTTCCATCCCCCATACCCTGCCCCACTCCCACCTGGCCTTGCATGTGACCAGGTCTCCCAGTATCCTGCAAGGTCTCACAGGGCCATTTATGCTTGGAAGGTCTGTCTCCCCTAGCCTAAGCGCCCCAAGGCCTGCATTCCGCAGCTCCCCACCCTCCCACAGGCCTGTCTGTCTGCCCCCAGGAAACATTCTCATACTAATCAAATGAAAGGTGATCACTTTCACCTAATCCCACTTTGTCTAAACACGAAACTCCTGTCTGCCCCTCCCCCAAGGTCATTCCGCTATGGCCCTTCCTTCCAGGTTGGCTTCTTGCTGGCTTCTCTTCGCAGACCAGAATTTCACTTTTGCAAGTTCACTGCATGTGTTCATCGCCTAGGGAACTCGTATGCACCTTCCTTCGTCCCCCGTTGGACAGTGGCTGCCTGTTGGTCATAGAGGAAAATTTAGCATCCTGCCCTGTGCCTGGCAATGAGTAGACACTCAGTTCGTGTTTGTGGAATGAACACAAGAGGGAGGGAACAAAAGAAAGAAATGATGAATGAATGGGACTGGCCAGTTGGCATCTGTGAGGTGTGTTTTCTGGGTGGTGTATAACTGTGTGTACACGGAGGGCCTGTAGGTACCATGTACTTTTGTCTTACAAGAGAACGGGACAAATGTGCAAACCCCGAGGTGATATTAGTATATTTTGTTTGCATTGTTACATGGCTGCACTACTGTACTTGCTGTGGGTGTGCAAACACACAGAAGGTATACATATGTGCAGGGTGTGTGCGTGTGTCCCAAGTGTGGGGTTTGTGCGTGAGATTGTCAGTAAGTCAAAGGGCTGCCCTGGTCTGGTCGGCAAAGCCGCAAGCTCAGTCATCAGTTCTTCCTCCTCTGGGGACCAGTGGCCTCAACTACCTTTGTGAGAATGAGAAGCCCAGGCTATGGCTGGCTCAAAGAGGTTGTGGTGAAGACGGGGGAGGGCTGGGGTTCTGCCGGCTGAAGGGTCACTGTTACTCTGTGCTTCCCAAGAGAATAGCCTCAGAATAGGTATGGGGCCCATGGATCCCTGGGGCAAGTCCCCCACAGTGGTCCACTCTGCTGGGTCGGGGGGGGGTGGGGGGATGGCACAGCCAGGGCATGCCACTAGATTTCCTGGAACTCTTGGCCATCAAATACAAAGAGGAGAGATTCGAAGTAAAAGAGATTTCAGTGGCACTATTTGTGTGCCCATGTTTAAGTATCTAAATTTGGGGTTTCACTAGTGTAGGTTCTAGTAGCCCACAGTTGTGAGGTCTTGGGAGATGGATTCTTTGGGTCTCATTCTGCCCCGGGGCCTGAGGCTAAGTTCAAGGGGTGTAGGGGGGAAAAGTAGCTGTCCTAGTCTCTTGGCCAAAGGTAAGAAATCTGCCCCCCTCCATGGAACCTTCCAGTCCAGAATGTTTCCCCCTCCCCCTTCAAAGATGTTTGAGGATTTGAAAGTGAGAGGTGGAGAGAGGCACATTTGCATGTTCACTTACTCTCCCCCAGTCCCTCAAAATAACCTCCCTCTCCCAGGAACCTGAAACCAAAAAAGCCACCACCACAGAAGGCCCGCCCTGCTGGAGGCCTGGAGAGGCCCACACCAGGGGCGCCTCTCTCCAGGGTCCTTCCAAGAGCGCTGTGCCTGGGATAGAGCTTCAGTGACCTACAGCATTGGACACTGCTTTGCTGGCAAGCAGCGGGGTGGGGGTGGGGGTCGGAGAATATACAGACAGGGAATTGAAGTACCAGGGAACCCTTAGTAACTGGTGGTGAATCCCTGCCACCCTGCCCCACCACTGCACAGCTCACAGCTGGCTCCACTCAAAGTCCACCCCCATGGTCTGACCTATTGGGGCTGAAAGTGAAGTCTTTGTGAGACTATATGGCCCCTGGAGGCTGCTGAGTGTACAGTGCAGGATAGAGCAAATGGCAGAGCACCCCTCTGTCCCCAGCCAGCAAATGCACCTCTAGCTCTCTGTGGTTCTGACTGCATTTCAAAACCAAAGCAAAATAGAAGTGGTGTGAGCTGCTTCTGCATCACCACAACTGGGCCTCCTGCAGAGGTACAGACCCTTCCTGGGGCTGTCACTGGAACATATCAAGCAGTGTCCAGTGCCCACCCATCTGGGCCTCCCCTACAGGAAACAGCCCTGATGTGAAAGCCACGTCCACAGTCTCCATGGAGTAAGTTTAAACCTACACCCGTTGAGCTGAGCCAATGGCTCTCACAGAATTGCTGGTAACACCCGTGGCATTTTCTCACATGCCAGGAAACATGGGGGCCAGATGGTCAGCAGGGCCACAGAGCACAATTCTCCTTCTCCAGTCCCTTGTCCCCTCTGAGCCAACTCTCACTCCTGAAATACCTTGTCCTCCATGAAACCTTTCTGGAATTCTCTGGAAAGGAAGTGACAATTTCCTTCATGCCATTTCCCACTCCCTCAACACCCCTCCCCCACAACCACAAACAAAATGGAAACTACCCCAGGAACAGCTGTACCCTCTCCTTAAAAACAGCCCCTCCTCCAGCTAAGAGTCATCAAGCAGTGAATGTGCCTGCTGCACCATGTGACCAGTGGCGTGTATTTAAGAGCCACAGGACCAGAGTCAAGAGATCCAGTCTGTAGTCCTGCACAGAGTGGAATTAAGCTATCCACAGGACTCAAACTCACAACGTTAGCCCAGTTAGGACTGGGCTCCAACCAGCCAGCTAATTCCTTTCTTGAGCAAGTGCCCAATTAAGGGGCGGGGGCCACAGCTATTTTGTCAGTCCCTTCTCCTCGATTCCTTTCTTTTCACTGCCCCCTCCATTTGAGATGAAATCAGGAAGAGGGAGGGAAAAAAAGAAAGGTTTTGCAACGCTGTTGGTTGGGGTTTCTCTGTGCTTATTTACAAGAAAACCCAGTTTCCTTCTTTGCCCTTCTGCCACTGACTGATTCCAACGTAGGCTTGTCACAACTCCAGTAATGAGGTGGGCCCTCACCATCTGGTGACCCAGAGCTCATCCTTACCTGTCCCCTTCACCCTTCCTCTGCTCTCCTCTTGGTTTTGCCTTCCAAGGCCCCAACCTGCCCAGGAGGAAATGGCAGGCCCCAGGCAAAATGATGTTCTTTCCTCATTCTCCAGGAGACCCATGGCCACTCAGGGTGTGTAGCACCTTCAGACAGGGGAACAGGAGGCAAGTACTCTCCTGGCTGCATCCCTATAAGCTTTATGACCCTGGAAAAGTGGCCACCTTTCTGGGCCCTGGCTTCTGTCATCCCTCAGGGGAGCGAGAACTGAGGGTAATCAGGGCTTAGCCAGTACTCCCCAGAGAGTCTCAAGTGAATGGAGAGGATGGTGGGAAAGAATTTTGAAAATTAAAAAGCGCTCATTCGAAGATGGGGTTTTAGGTGACCTCCCAGAAACACGGTGAGTGTTGGGGTGATGACAGTCTCTCATGTCCCCCTTGGCTCCAAAAAGACAGGGTGGAGTTGGAGGGTTATAGTTGTTAGCTGGGAAGGGGCTGACTCCTCATGTGGGTTGGGGGCCATGCAGGACAGAGTGCTCTGCCCCTGTCCCCCTTCCCCCACCCATGTCACTCCCGCCCAGCCCTTTGGGTTGTGGTTATGTAGCAAGAAGAGCACTACAGAAGCCCTAATAGGAGAGGAAGGGGAGGGGGAGGGTTACTAACAAAGGGAAACTATTTCCTCAGTAGTCCTGAGAAAGCCAAATGAGCACCCCCTGGAGGTGCCTGCCAGCCACCATATCCTCATCTTCTGTGCTTCAGGGACAAGGAAGAGCAGAGGGACATTGAGCCAATGATAGGAGAATGCACTTCAAGAAAAGGGACAAAGCCAAGCTACTAAATCCCAGTACAATGGGTTGCCAGCTACAGCCTAGGAGGGGCCCCAGGAAGTCCCTGTAGACCAGACCCTAAGAGCATGGGCTTTCTGGCTACAAGGGCCAGCTCTGCCTTGGGACAGTCAGGTCCTTTTCTCCTTTGCAAAATGGGGATAACCTACCTAACTCAAGGGGCTGTTGTGAAGAGCTGATGGGTTAATGCAGACAGAACTCCCTGTTTTGTCCTGAACATGTTTTTCAATTTCCAGATCTGGTTTGAGACTTTGGGGCCTTGGTTGCT